CCCCCCACCACACACACACAAACGCCACGGAAAACATTACCTTCTTCATCAATACCATTTTACCGATATCCGCTGACAGCTCCCTTGTGGGCGTTAAAACAGCGGCAAACTTTTCATTTATGACTGGCGTGTCAGAGGTCAGACGCTGCCATTACTTCTATTAAAACACGCCTCCCCGGAAGTCAGACCTCTACACGTACAGGTCGCCCCGGAGTGAGATTGGGGTAAGCACGTCCTCACGGCCGGTCGTCAGTCATATCCGCACGCCAGAACAATTTACGGAGATAGAAGAACTTTATTGCACGACAATTGCACATCTGTATCTGTATCTGTATCTGGATAGCCGGTATAACGGCCTTTCGGCGTAACACAACAGCTTCGCAGGCACGCGGCGCGGCGGCAGCTGGCTACATCACACCGAACGACGTGTTGCACCTAACCCTTGAAATATAACACTAAACATTGTTTAAAGCTATCTAATGATAATGTCCCTACTGTACTTGCTGTACTCTACTTACTAAACTTCTCTTGATGTTTAGTAATTAGGATGTTAATTTTCATTCTATACCCTTCTCTTTTCGTACTATGTTCAGTACTCGTTGCCATACGTGTATCTTGTACAATTGTCGTGCAACAACGTTCTTCGTATCCGCACGTCACAACAGGTTTTTCAATTTACGGGAATATATCCGCCAGGATCCTGCGTTGGCCCGGATCAAGGAGAATCGAATTAGTGTCTGGGAGGAAATGAGAGTTCGCGGCGAGGGCTCAGGGCTACGGTACTGTCATACATCTCACAGGGTGTCTAAATCGTACCAGGTGTCACCTGGGATGATCCAGTTATTATGACAGCGTGCGCTCATTTCGTGGCCTTGGCTCTTGCCTGTGAATCTGACTTGGATAAGGAACTTGTCACACACAGCCGACCATGGCCTCACGACCTTTTAACAGTTGGGAGTTAGTCGTAAGCAAGGGTATCTGTGGTTGAATCGGTTGGGGGTCAGACAGTGAGTTTATAGCCACTATGTCTGGCAATTTTGACAAATCAAACTAGGGAAAGTCATATTCTTAAACATGATAAAAGGAGCGAAATGTGGCTAGAATATTAGGCTACTCCCAACTCAGCACCGAGTTAAGTGATCTGAGCGGTAGAAATAAATGAGTTAAGTCAGAAAAAAAGACGGAAATAAATGAAAGAAGAAAGGAAAGAACAGACGGGCGGACGATGAAACAAAGACAAATTAGAGGCAAAACGGAGAAAAGGGAAATGCATTTAATTTCCATTTAATCGACATTTCACATTCTCACCCAGACTCGCTCTTTTGTATATTTTTTTCGCTGCCCCATTCCCTCCAATTCCTTCTTTGCGCAACGTTCCGTCTCGGGGCCAGTGGACCCAATCAGCCCAAATGACTGTTCAGTGTCTCCGCTTGATTCATGGCGGACGACTTCCGCGCTAACGGTCGTTTGCAGGTAATAAAAGTTAAGGGGATTACTGACTGCTTTCGGTAAAGACCTGTAGCGATATTTCGCGGAAAGGCGGCAGTTTATCAATTCTTATGTAGCAATCAAGTTGATACATGTCGCCGCGTTATTTGCTTCTTTTTTTTTTATTCCCCGCTGGAATCCTAGCCTTTACCAGTAGGCTTCGAGAAGCGGCTTCAAGGTGTAGAAATTGGTCAAGTAGACAGATAATGTGCTAGGGGAGTTGGTCCGCGCTAAGAAGCGCTCCCGAAGCCTGCTAAGAGGCTAGCTGGCATCCGGTCATGTAGCTTGTGCCTGGGCTATTCGAAAATGCTTCAAGTATGAAATGATGATGACAATTATGCAGTAAGAAATGTCAGTAAATGTCAATATCATACAGATTATGATATCATATCATCCAGAATATTTTTGTTTTGCTTCCATGAAACTACATTGGCCTTTAAAGGTGAAGTCTCGTCTAATCTCGTCTTATATAGTTTAGTCTCGTTAACAGACTCATTGGGAACGATGTTAACGTTAACGTCTCAACCCCCCATGATTAAGAATCCGGAACGCAAAGACTAACGCCCCGGCTTAGCCACTCCGTGTAATAGAACCTGTGATACGCGCCTGATTTAGCTTTGAGTTTGTGCAGTGAGTCATGTATACGTAACGGTACTTTTCTTCTATCCGTCATCATTTACCAGGATAAAAACACATTACCTCCCTTACACAAAGCTTCTCGGCGTATAAAGTAATGTTACAGTCGAGTCGGTTTCCATTCTAGTAGGAGTGATACATGTACAGATTATGGCTCATTAACTATTACCCTTTCTGTGAAGGCTATAAAACGTCAAACTGGCGTCCTAAAAAATAACACAGCTTTCGGAGAGAATACACAAGAAAATGTAAATCTCCAAGCAGATTCTGTGGGACAAGGGGAGTCTAGAACAGTGCAGTTTTTAGGGCTTGGAAACCCGATTTTTCAAAGCCAATATCCTAGCCATTTATCTACATACTGAGTTGAAACCACACACCCTCATGGAGCAAAAATCCCAAAATTCTGACTGAAAATGGTTACTGAGAGGGCCCTGCGCTGATTTTAGGGTACCGCCCAGAAAATAAAGGACTAATTTTGAGGCTTGTTTCTGCAGCTTTAAACGCCAAAAGTATGAGATACTGACTCAAATGTGCTGATGTGAAGCAGTCATACAGATTGCCTTATTCAGAATATTTCCAGTTTTGCTGCTATGAAATCACATTGGATGCCTTTAACAAAAATCTAGTCGTTCGACCTTCACACACTTCCACGGCAATCTCTTCCACAAACCGTTACAGACTCCGTTTCCAAATATCAAGTAGCTATATATAGCGGAATGGGGAGAATTTGCAGGAACTTGTGGAGACATTACATGGTGTCACCTTATCAAGGATGAACTGAACTGACCTAAACGCGGAATGAATGTAAAATGGCCTCTCAAGAAGATATCATCGCTCGTAAGAACCCATCTAATGGCAATAACGGTATATACGTGTGTGCTGTGGGCCTCTTTAGTAGTGTGTTACACAACCCAAGATATAGCTTTGATTCTCTTAAAATGCATTCAATGATAAAAGTATGTAAAATGCGAAACATTTGTGTGTGCTAAATTGAAGGGAACACACTTAAACTAGGATTGGTGATAAAAGTGAATTGGACTTGAAGTAAAAATGCAACATTATTTTATTCAAGGGTAAAAGTACCATGCTGACTTGGGAAAAGATTCAGTGACGTCTCTCTGTCTTTTCGCCTTCACTTTTAATTAACTTCTCATCTTTTCTACACGGCACTTACGAGAATTCCCTAATGAAGATGATGAAAACGAACACGTTCATCAAATGAAAGGCTTTTAAGTTGATTGAGATACCATTGACAATGAAGGAGAAAGGATGATGACGTTTAATCTAACAGATAAAAGGAGGAGACAAGGCGGGATTCGGAAGAATGTTCAGGCTGATTGAATGGGTGGTACCGGAAAGAGCGAAGTAAGTAGCTGTAGGGAGAGAATAATATTACGTACACGTACACCTCTAAAACTTACTTCGTGTCTTTTCAAAGCTTGTACAGGCGTTTGGAAATCTGTGAACTCTGCAAAACTACGCTTCTCTTTTTTTAAAATTACCTTTTTTATTAGCTACTCAGAAAAGTAAAACGCTATGAATATAGAAAGAATACCTTTGATGAACCGGCCGTTGACAGCGGCCGAAGCTAAGAAGAAAGCCCGTCTAAGTCCCAAGGCTACACCGGTACAGTCGTTAAGATGCACCTAATGGTGCTACTGACCGGTACGTTTGCTCTGCGGGTCCTTAGAGCGTGTTACACGGACCTTAAGAGCGGGATGTCTTCGTTTGGCAGTTCGCCAGCTGACATCCTCCATGGTTCTTTTACCTCACTTCGTCTGGAGAGACCAGATCTTCGACAAGCTTGATTTTCATCAGTTCTTTGCTATTGATCGTCTTTAATTCTACAAGGTTTTCGTAAGTGAAACAAGAAATCAGAGGTTTCAGACTGCCTGTAAGTATCAGATAGTCCCTCGTGCTATCCTGACCTCACCTCACCTATTCCTTGACCTCACCGAGGGTCGTTGGGGCACCATGACTGGATCCACTCTCCTCCACCACCTAACTCTGTTCTCCGCCGCTCTTGGCTTCAGCTAAACTTAGTCTAGTCCACTCTTTTATATTGTCTTTCATCACCTCTTTCTGTGCCTACAATCCTAGGCTTCATAAACTCTCTGACCAGAGCCTTTTACTGTGTCTGACCTTTTGATCTCCTGTTATTCTGCCTGTTAATCAACCCCACCCACGTGCTATCAACCAACTCTTTCTGGACAAACAAACACACAAACCTAGCCACCCAAAATAATACTTCCGTACAACTACTGTATCTCCAAACTCCTTCAACGAAATTTTCTTGCTGAAAAAGGGAATAATTTTAACCGTTTACGGCCACCCAAAATAATACTTCCGAGCAAAATGATACTGTGTCTCCAGAATACTGAGTTTCAGCGGAAATATCTTGCTGAAAAAGGGAAGAATTTTAACCGACCATGGGCTTGCTCATCTCTCACTCCATTACCTTCCAGTTATATATTCTGCCTAGGTGCCTGTTCTTCCCCCACCCACGCGCTGTCAACCAACACACAAACCAGGTCACCCAAAATAATACTTTCAAGCAAATACTGTATCTCCCAAATCCCTAGCGTCAGCGAAAATATCTTGCTGAAAAGGAATAAATTTTACCTTCCACGCGGTGCCTGGGCTTGGTTACAAGTAACGTTATATCCATCTTGCTACATTACCTCCAACGCACGGTACTAACGTGAAAGGTTCAAGAGGTCGCTAACAACGGAGGATCCTCGGTCAAATCTAGTGTTCTATAAAACAGTCTGGAGACGCATTATCTATCTATGGCTTTATTGAAAACGTGTCAAGTCAGGGCGCAGACAGTTTAATACCCCCAGCGCAGGCATAGACTGTTTTTATTGAAATCTCAGTCGCGTGAGGTCTCAATCAACGGGTCTAAGCTCGCATGTTTATAGTTCTTGGAATGCGGCACGCTTACATATATACATGTACATGTAGATCGCAATGTCGATTATATGTATGGTGTACTAAAATTGATAGGCTGGCACCTAAAACGTGCTATCAGCGCAAATTTGTCTGTGTAAAACTGTTACTCTCAACTATTATATCTTCTTTACGGAGGCTCCTGAGTGTATCCTAATGTGTGTTATCAGCTCTAACTACTGTTACATCTACCCTTCAGCAGAACAAAATGTCATGAACAGTCTCGCATGCCACGAGCATTGAAGTTACTGTCTATGCATCCTGCGAAAGTGGTAATATTTTCATTTTATTTTATTTTCCGTCATATTCATACAGGGTTGCCCACTCAGTGGTAACACTGATTTTCAGTGGGGCCCTGTGTGATTTTATATGCACCTTGAATATGATGTTTAATGGAACAATTATTAAATTGTATTTAAGGATCACTGTTACATTAAGTGAATGAATAGTTAATGTAATGTAAGTCCTATATACTTCATGTTACATTGTGTATGTGACATGCCAGTCGATTTTGAAACAAAACAGAACTGAGTGGGGTTGTGCGGCTTAACGGCAGAGCATCCGGCTCAGAACCAAGAGGTCCCAGGTTCGAATCCTGCCAAGTCACCGACCTTGTGCCCTTGGGAAAGGCACTATATTCACACGACTTTCCTCACCTCGCTGAAAATGCGTATTCTAGAATGATCATTATCATGATCGTGGGCATTAAAAGGAAAACCAAACCAACTGACGCACCGTCTTTAAAATGATTGACATGAACAACAGAAGACGTATAAGGCGTTTCACCACCTGCGGTGCTGTAGACTGTTTAGTGCGTGTGTGAGATCTAACAATAAGGTCGGTACGATTCCGTTTTTGACTTCGCACAGTGCGCTACCCTTATGGGTGTTTGGCTCCCTGTTGTTGTAGATATATGTAGAACTTCACAGGGGTGAAAATCCTTAACAGAACGGCTGGGTGAGCGGGTATTGACTCGGGGTAACTCGGAGTGTGGACAGTGTCTGTGGAGGTGTGTGACCAGTACACAGTTCTCAAGCCGGAACTACTGAGAGATGCAAACAACGGAATACCGGACACCGGAACAACAGTCAGTGAGACGGATCTGTGCACCTGTACCGCCCCTCACTCCTTTTTCTGCAATCCGCGGGTTCAGTTCAGCTTTAGTTTTTCTTTCATTCTGTCGTCTGCATAGAGTAAGGTAAAGAATTCTCTCCTTGCCCTATGAGGTTTCTACCTACGTCAGCTTTAGAGAAACGCCGTGACCGTGGACACTACTGCACATGGACTTGTAAAATATCGTCCAAGGTGACGACTTCTACTCTCCAAGCAGAGGTTTAGGCTTCGGCTTATTTTTACGTGTTTAGGTGTTTTTTACTGGGCTTTTTTGTACTGGTATCTTTTTTACGCCATCCCATCGAGTGGCAAATGGCAAAAAAACTAATTGCTGGCAAATGGACCGGACACTGCCTGGCTAATTTGATACTCCCATACTGATAAGCAGAGGTTAGGATTTGGGCTTATTTTGGGCGTGTTTTAGGCTTTTTATCGGGCTTTCTTTTTTTGCACCGGTATCTTTTTTACGCCAGCCCGACCTATTTGATACCGTCTTTGCCGCCACCGAAGATCTGCTTGGAGATTAACGACTCCGTCATCAGTGTGACAAACGCGGGACGTTACGAGTGATCGCCTGTAGCGCATGTGCAGTGCCGTGCCTGGAGTAGAGGGCCTCCCCCCCAGGAATGTAGGCAATGCTCGGGACTTTAAACTGTATCGACTGGGCGGCGTGGGATGATCCGGACGCTTCCGCCGCGGGAGGGAATGTGAATGTGACGGCCGTGCGTTAAACAGCTAGGGCTGCTGACGGTACGCGCTTTGGGAGGAGTGAGTGAATCGGCCAACGCATCGCTCGGTTTCACACACCCCGGGCACACACTGTGGTACTGACAATTGGATTCCGTAGCTCAAGTGGCCCTTGCCTAGCTTGGATCGCGCTTGAACGTTTTGACTTGATCTTAGACACACTGATGGTCGGATTTCGTAGAACAAGACCCTAGCCTAGCGGGTGTGCTTGGATCGCTTGAACGTTTGTTTGAACTTGATCTTGACTTCATTCACCCTGGACACATTGACAGCCGGATTCCGTGGCTCAAGGCCTTCGCCTAGCTTGGATCGCGCTTGAACTTGGCTTCACGTACCCTGGACACATTTTCAGTCGTTTCTTAACTCAAGGCCCTCGCCTAGCGGGTGCTGTGCTTGGATCGCTTGAACCTTTTGAACTTGATCTTGGCCCTACGTGGTCAAACACACTGACAGCCTGATTCTGTGGCTCAAGGCCCTTGGCTTGAACATTTGAACTTGATCTTGCCCGTGACACAATGATGGCAAGCGCGGCGGGAACCTTCGAGGAAGACTTCGCCACCGCGGCGTACCTGGAGAACACGTCGGCGGGGTTCCTCCTCACGCCCACCGAAGAGATTCTCCTGAACGTGACGGGCTCGGGGAACGGTACCGATGGCGTCGCCCCTCGCGACCCTTCTCCAGCCCTCCTGAAGACTGCTCTAATGTTCTTTACGGGAGTTCTGAGTAACGTAATCGCACTGGTTGTCCTGTGTTTGTCCCGTAGAGAGAGACGACGCTCCGTGTTCTATACCCTGGTCTCAGGGCTGGCCTGGACAGACCTTATAGGAACGCTGGTGGTCTCACCCTTCGCTCTCATTGTCTACGCCAACAACTTCAAATGGGTCGGTGGAGAACCGCTCTGCAAGTTCCACGCCTTCGACATGGTAGCGTTCGGACTGTGCACGAACCTGATCGTAGCCGTCATGGCCGTGGAGCGGTACATCGCTCTCAGTCACCCCTACTTCTACAACATCCACATCGACCGCAAAAAGGCTCGCATCGCCATCGCCTGTGTGTGGATATACACCATACTGTTCTCTCTCCTACCTTTCGTCGGGGTGGGCAGGTACGAGATCCAGTACCCGGGTACGTGGTGCTTCTTCAGCACCGCCGGGAACCTAACCCTCACCGAGGCGGTCTACCCGTACGCTTTCGCCGCGACGGGTATCCTGATCATCCTGGGGACGACTGTTCTGAACGTGTCGCTGATCTTCACCATGTTCAAGATGCGGAGGCGGTCCCTGGAGATGCAGACGTGCCGGGAGATGAGGCGGCTCAGGAAGGAGAAGGAGATAGAGATCCAGATGGTGGTACTGCTGGTGGGGGTCACGGTGGTCTTCACCATCTGCTGGGGACCCATCATGGTACGTACTGCAAGTTACTACCGTGGTACAGAGTACACATACCTCAAACATACAGCCAACAATTATGGTACCTACAACACACTAATGGTGGCACTGCTGGTACTGCGCACCGTGGCACACACACCTCAAACAAATCAAAGGTATGGATGCTACTTGAAACACCTGGCAGTTTTCCAAACCTATCCAGTTGCTTGAGTAACAATTTAGTTGTAGATCTCATTACCTGGATGTCTAAACTTCATCGACATAGCTACAATAACATCTGGTTGCAAATACATGGTAGATGCAGCGATACATATCAGGTGAGTCTAATAGTGGTTGCCAAAGTCATCGGATACCCGAAAGCATGTATTACTTGCCATTTATCGTCATTGCCAAAATCCAGGTTTCCCAAATACAGATATGCTTACCAGTACAGGTTCGATTGTGCGTATAATATCAGATACCACACATTTACGGTATGTGTCAGGAGTTTCTTGCATCTTTACTTTCCAACGTTTCAACTGGCATGACTTTTTTTCGCTCAATATCCCAAACTGTATCCATGAAACAGTGAAAGAATTCAATACTACAAATCTAGTATCAGGTGGCATTTAAAACAGACACCACTTTGCCTGACTGGTATTTAATACGCTAAAAGAGCTATCTTCATATTTCTATATTTCAATCATCGACATAACAATATCCCAAACATTATCGTTTCTGGAACAGCCCCAACTTTCAAGTTCATCATCACAACATAACGTCTTTTCTGCCCTCTGTCCTTCGATACACCGCTTTATCTCTCATTCAATCTTCTGTCGTTCCTCTTTCCTTCCTCTATAAGTCTCTGCCACATTCGTTCCATCCCATCATCCCTATCACTTACCGCCATCTAACTCAGTGTAAGTGGCTGAACTCATTTTCCCCACGCCACTCTAATATCGAGAGGAGTCATATATCATACACAGTCGTGTGGAACAGTACAGCCTGCTGAAGCGGTAGCCTCCATAGCATGCCCAAAACTGGGTGTTTTAAGGGTCTTCAGGGTCTTTGGGAACTTTTATGTGCTATTTTCTGATTACATATAGACAACGTAGCCGGCCTGGTTGAATTACCCCCGTTTTTTGCTAATCAGAAAACAGCCGAAGACCACCAAACCCCCAGTTCTATAAGCCTGCTACGGAGGCTAATCAGAAAACAGCCGAAGACCACCAAACCCCCAGTTCTATAATCCTGCTACGGAGGCTAGCGAAGTGGTGTGTACCGTCGATCGCAAGGTTTCGTCTCTCGACTGATATCGATTATAAAATATGATATATGGATACGTTAATTTATTGATAGAGGTTCCCATATGGTCATGCGTGTATGTTGAAAACAGTCTGTAACAGTCTATACACACATATGGTTTTGAAATATGCGATATAGGTAGAATTCTTCACGGAAATTTGCAAAGAGTCATCCTTGAAAAACATCGCGTTTGCGATGTGCCAGTGAAATGTTAGAAGCTATGTCGTGTAAACAAAAAGTCAAGATGAGCTTCCGCTAAGGCAAACCAGCTGATCGTTAAAAGAAACCTTTAATTCATATAATCTATCTTCTCCATCTTCGAACATTATTATGTAAGCCAAATGCAAGCATACAGGATTTTAGGCGATATGCCCATATCATAGACGCCTTCTAAATGTCTAGAGTTTGTATATTTGTCGCCTTCAATTTGGAACTATTCCCTTAATTTGCACATTCTGCTAAACCTGTACTTAAAGCTTTGACACGTGGCTCTGTTTATTAGTACACCACTTAGTCTGAGCGACGCCACCGGAACATATAGAAGTCATAAACTCATAATGCCTATAACAAGCTACAGCTTCGATTATAAAATACAGAGTCGACGTCTGTAGATCAAGACTGGAGGCTTCCGCCATATGGTCAGACCAAATTGGCCTGTTGTTCAGTATTTCTTTCATCATTTAGGCGTGTCGTAAGTCAGAACAGTGTGGTAATCTAACAGAATATCAGCATTGAGCAGTTGACAACGTACATTTATGTCTAGTAATGCATAAACGTTGATCAACAAAGTCATTATCTTTACTGGTTATCGTGGTTTCGTTTTGAAATGCTATCAGTGGAAGGCTACAACAATGACAGTAACGGAATGATTGCTCTTTTAAGATATCTTTGTTTAAGCAGTAAATGATAGAGAAACTAGGGAAAATTTCTTGTCTAGAATGAACTAAAGTGAACCCTCCGGAGTCAACATATCGAGTCATTGACCGTGTTGTCTGGGAACAAACAGAGTAACATGTGTAACAGATTCGTACACACAGATTCGGTAAATAGGCTATAGTCAATACTGGGTGCGAACGGAAGTTGGGGACCTTGTTACAATGTAGCTGGGACTGGTAAATACAAATGTTCTACAAACGGACACATGTTATTCTAAATGTCCTCGGAGTCATCTCAGCTCAGTCACTTATGTCTTTAATATGTGCGCTTTCAGTGCTTTGTAATTTAAAAGGAGCAAACGCGTTCCACACTTTTCTTTGTGTACGTGTGAATTTGAATATTGCCAGGGCTGAAAAAGTCATCATTAAAATGAAATTTCTTCGGCACTCAACGTACATGTAGACATCACAGACGAACAGCAAGAAATTAAACGCTGACATTGCTAACGTTTGCGTCAGTCCAGCGTAGATATTTGTCAGTTTTTGTTTAAACAGGCCGGGGTTTTCATAAAATGTGTTGTCCAGTGAACAAAATCGCACAGCTTGAAAGACGTGACGTACAAAACAAGCAATAAGACCGACAAAAACATATACAGACGCCATGCATCTATTGTGTACTTGATATTTAGTTCTGACAAGAACAGTTTTTTTTTCAACTGAAAACTGTAGGTAAATCTACGCCTGTAGAGTTTAGCTAAGCTGAACCTGCTCTCTTAACGTGTTCCAAAGTCAGAGAGCTAGCTGCCGCCGCGCCGCGTGCCTGCGAAGCTGGTGTGTTACGCCGAAGGGCGGTTATACCGGCTATATCGATACAGATACAGAACTCAAAGGTTTGGTGCCTGTCTGGTATCCTGGTCGCCACATGCCTGTTGTTGTCGTTCTGTCAGGAAGGGAGGGATGGCTGTACGTCTTTCTGCCACTCAGAGCACATCACTGATCTGTTTTATCTGTCAACCCCGGATGTCTGTCTGAATCAAAGTTTGTTCTTGTTGGTATAGCTCCTTAGACTTCCTCTGTACGTGTATGTGCCTACTGCATGGAACGTGACACTATTAAACCAGTACTCTAAATTGCCAGGTAAGTCCTGTAATGGTTGCGATAGGCGATGAACATCTACACGATATATTTACTGCGTGAAAAACAGAATTTGGCTACAGAAGGTTGATAATGATTTGCCAAAGGAGTCGGCTGGGGTGTGTTACATCATAAAGTCCTCCCAAAACACTTCCCGATAGTCCAAACTCTCCGAGTTCTTGAATCTATGTTAGGCGCACTCCTGCCACTGCCAAATTATTCACCGCTTTGGGCAAAATTTCGCTTTTTCCAGCTATGAAAGAAGTCTGCTGAAGACTGATACCAGTGAGCCCTGTGCCCGGTGAGCGTGTATAGTAGAGGGACATGCTCTAATGATGATAGACTTTCGGCGGCATTTTCCAGACTTTGCGGCTAAGTCGTGGCATTAAACCGATTGTGCTAACATAGCCGTTGTGGCAGCACGGTTGGTTAACCCAGAACCTGAACGTGGAACCCTGAAAGACAGCCCAATGTTAGTAACGTACGATGTAGCCCTTCTAATGGCCAGCCCGGCCCGCTTTGGGCTTCAAAGCACGGAGAAAGTCCGTTAGAACTGACAGGGTCACGAAGTTCAAATTTCCGGGAGCACAGAGGTCACCAACGACATCTTTACTCTTTAAACACCCAGATGTGTCTATAAATGTCAGTTTACAGATCACTAACTTTTGTTTCTGGGTACAAACCTAACTCTATACAAGCTGGAGAGTTTAAGTATAGTGTATGTTTGCGTTAGAATGAATAAAAGGTATAGTTAAAGAGTTTTGTAGATTAAGAAAACAACATACACTTTCTTTCATATTGTATCATATTAACGGCACATCAAATAAGGTATGTTTACATGTACCTGTTTAGGGACAGGGCAGGGCATGTTTAAAGATACATAACAAGGGGTCATATATCACTTGTAAAAAGGTACCAAATACGTTACATGCTGGATTCTTTGAAGTACATATTAAGTCATTACTTGTGGCGATCTATTTCAGCACTCTGCATGATATGAAGAATACATATGACACTCATTTATATAATATCTTATTTTTTTTACTTTGTTTTGTTTGTTTGTTTGTTTGTTTGTTTGTTTGTTTAGAAGACCTAGCTACTGATTATTTTGATAACTATCAACATTATGCCATGTTTAAAGGTTTAGCAACTCATCAGTGACAAACGGAATGAAGCTCGTTGAAAACGAATTATCATAATAAGTACTTTTCTATTGTTTCTTATTTTCAAGTTCAAGGCTTCCCCTTTACAAAATATCATCATTTTCTTGCTACAGATTCACAAATAGGAAGATCTAGACCCAACACTATCAAGACACTGAAGCAAATCAAATGTTCCTAATGGCCAAAACCACTTAGAGAACTTCAGCGTGGTGAATCTAGGCTGATGTACACATTACTTTTCCTGGTCAATCTAAGGCTGCACCTGGTATATATACATGTACAAGTATGCCACACATAAACTAAGCTAAGCTTCTTAATTACTGAGCCAATGCATTACCTTACTAGACACACTGGCCAATACCCAATCTAGTGGTAAAGTTTTCGCAAGCTAGAGGTCCCGTAGGTCGTTAATCTAAGCTTGTAGACAAGGCCACTTTGACAAAACGCGGTGTAGAAAAATCAATGGTTAGGCCAAACGCAGTATCCGGCATACAAAACGGTCCAGGAAATGCGCAGGCATGTAGGCGCATCCACTAGACACTAAATAAACGGTGACGCAGATCAAATGTGAACCGTTTGACAGAAATTACAGAAAGATTCACTCTTCCCGGGTATAATAAACTCGACAATAAAGGAAAATAAAGCCTCGATAAGCAAGAATACTGATAAAACGTGACGTCCCGTTGTTATAACCTGGTTTAGGTCATGGCCTTTCGCTACAAAACGCATCCCTCCGGCAGTTATAAACTTTAGAGTAATAGAATTTAATATCCTCCCAAGACATTACTTATATTATGTATAATCTTTCTCCTACGCATGGAGTGACCTCCGTCCGTATAGATCACACAACCCACTCAGTGGTTGTCAAATTGGAGACAAATATAGTCCGTCTGTGGGGACTTGTTATAGATCAAAGGAGGATATGATTAAAACGTACCGACAGGTCGTATTTTTGGACGGCGTTACCCAACATAGCGAACCGCCGCAGGGTATAGCAAGGTGCCCGATTGGTGACCTATGGGCGGTACCATGGCCAATGATTAAAGGGGAGGGGAGTAAGCTTCCAGCAATAAGAATGTAGATTTATTGTTTCACAAAAATTGATTTTCAATCAATCGTTTAATTTTCTTCACTTACTAGTATTAGTCAATGTAGTAATCAATTTCTTAGTCATACTATAAATACATTATAATAGCAACAATAGTTTGCTGAAAATGTACCAAAACATATCTAGAAATTTGCAGATACAAAATGTGTGTAGATTGTTAAGAGAAAATTTTAATATATATGTCTTAACATTTGATATTGTGCATGTGATATGCATATGATATGGCGTGTATATGACAAGTATAAAGATATGCTCGTTCGTCATAAAACTGCACAACAATAAGGTACCATACGGTACTGTATTATTTTATACACGTACCATATGGCACCTTTAATAAAGGTGCCATATGGTACGTGTATAAAGAAACAATTTCACTAAGTGAGAAAATAGTGGATAAGTAGGTATAACAGAGATACAAGGGAAACATAATACACGGAGACGTGTGTCTATATTGTCCTCAGACTGACCCTATATTGACACGGTGAAGTTTATTACCAAGGTCAGGTTTGAACAGTGTCTCCAGGAATGCTGCCAAATTCTTGGCCGGTCCCTCGCTGCGCACACTTCAAGTTCAACGACATAACGACATTGTTTTGGGAATAGGGATTTCTACAGTTGACAGCTTTGACAACTATGATTATAACTTCTGGTGCGATATGAAAAATACATAGAGTACTAAGTATGCAACTATTCGTGAGCATCGGTTTGGTAGGGCGCAAGAGTTTCAAAGCATATACTTATCGCTGTACTTTTGTTGTGCCAGTAAAGGCTTCTATTTTACAACAAGATTCCTCTGTACATTTCTTATCATAATGAGTTAGTAGCCTCAGATGTTTGTTTGTGTATGTATGTATGTGTGTGTGTGTGTGTGTGTGTGTGTGTGTGTGTGTGTGTGTGTGCGTGTGTGTGTGTGCGTGCGTGCGTGCGTGCGTGTGTGCCCCTTACGACACGAGATTTAGAAAGGATCATGATAGAACATTATTTCCTAAGTGTACTTCCATTCTTGCAAAGACTTACCAATGATGTCTAGACTACTGACTCGTTCAGTGCCTAGCGGCTGTTCCTATTACTAGAATACTAAGGGTCACCCAATACACATATATAGATTTAAGGTCACCTACGATACGAGATATAGAGAAAGGATCATGACATAACATTATCTCCTAAGTGTATTTCAATTCCTCGAAAGCCTTGCCAATGATGTCCAGACAAGTGAATGGTTCAGTACCTAGGTGTTATCCCTATTGCTAGAGTACCCTATCACAAATTTAAGGTCTCGCACGATATAAACTGACGAGATTTAGAAAGGATCACGACATAGTATTATCTCCTAAGTGTATTTAGATTCTTCAAAAGCCTTGCGAATGATGTCTAGTCAAGTGACTAGGGGTTATTCCTATTTCTGGAGTACTAATGGTCACCCCTGTGGAACACTGCTGGGCAATCGATGTACTGAAACGGCCGTGGAGAAGCCACAGAGTGCTCACCCAGACTGTCGGCGCCGCGACTCCCCACCGACGTGTCTATACTACCTGTTATATCAGCTAACCCGTGATGAACCGGGCTTTATCAATACCGACTCCTGTACGCACTTGGACACCGCACAAAGAAAACGCTACTGATCCCCTGTCGGCAGATCACTTAGAGCGGTCTTCATCTCTGTGATTGAATTTGTCCCCTCCGGCGGTTATACATTCTCGAAAAATGGAGAACATATTTCTTGGTGGTTGCACAACCAAATGGATTTGCTTTAGAACGTTACGGTAGTTGTTTTGCCACCTTGCTCAGGGCAATCCTGGCTGGTTGTACTTCGAATTCCCACCGATAGGTGGCGTTGCAATGAGGAGAATGCGGTCCGAAACATGACTAAGATTGTATCCCCTACGTACGGTTAATGACTTGAGTAGATGTGGATGGATACTAGCTTGTAGAAAGTCTACTTCATTCGTACATAGATCATTAATTCTGTGATGTATTATCCAGCCAACTATCATTTTAGTTTCAGTTATCAAGCATATTATGACACTTGACTTCAACATCAACATAAAACATTATTGCGTATCACTTTCTATAAGCCGTCCGTCTCGCACTACCGCACATGGTAGTTTGTATTAACTGAGTCATCGACCTTCTTCAAAAGTCTTTGTCACTTTAATCAAGTCTAATGTACCACACGCTTGTCTAGCTACATGGCAATCAATTGTTGCTCTTTCACCTTTCTAACCTCCCATTTTTCATATTTCTAGGTGCGAATCATCCACAATACGTCAGGGGGCGCTGTGAACCACGCCGCCGACCTGTTAGCGATCAACATGGCGTCCATCAACCAGATTCTCGACCCGTGGGTCTACATCCTGTTCCGGAAGGAGTTGCTGATTCTGTTCTTTCGCTTCCTGCGGGTCATCCTGTGCGGAAAGGCCCGGATGTCGATCGAGCCTTCCATTGGTTCCGGAGGGATCGGTTCTGGCGGGAGAACGGAGGGTCACGTGACGAGACCGGCCCGGTTTCAGGAAGACTTTAGCGTTATAGTGAACGGCAGCGCGCAGAATAATCAGATTGAGATGACGGAACTAGTTTAACACAATCTGTCGTTTCTTCTTTGAGAGTGAAAAAACATTTAAGTATATATAGGACTGGGGACGTATACAGCAAGACAGTACGTAGATATTGTGACGTGTGTAAGTTGTAATCTATATAGAGAGGACCAAGGATCCTGATGAAGGCGACAGTGGTCGTTGAAAATTTGATCTTATGTTGGAAAAATAAAGTTCAACATTTTACTATGATTACTACCAATACAGATGAGCTTTCGTGATAAAGAGAGGACCAACATTTGCATTGACATTGGAATCCACCAAATGAAACTGGAAAGAGGCCAAAGATGTTATGACATGTTATGATTACACCAGGCAAAGATTTAATATTTGGACACATTTAGGCAATAAATATGTATCTATTTGTATATAACGGTAAAATGCATGTCATGTATAGTATAGATAATAACCAACCATTGATACCCATAATTTTGTAGCGGCATCTGTTATACTACCATCAAGGAGGTTATAGGGCTACCATGAAGAGTGATAACAGAAGATTATGCAAAATGACGAGTACTTATAGAATTATGTACATAGTTCTTTTTTTGTTCTCTGTGCAATATACATGCATTAAAGTAACGTAGTACGTGAAGTGTGTAGCGGTGTAGGACACACAAAACATGTCAATGTTTTTCGTAACAAGAAAATGTTGTACATACTAAGTAATTTATACTCCTAATATCTATATATGTACATATGATATGCATACACACACACACATACGCACACGCATATGTATATACTTCCAAAGACGTTTTGGATATGAGTACCCTAACTTAATAATTTACAAATAATTTGTAAGTGTGGTAGGTTATTGTGAAAGGAAAATAAACATTGCTACCTTTTATATCTTCCATCATTCAATTGTCTTAAGATGAAAAGTTCCAAACCAATTGCTACTAACAAACACTGTATGTGGCCTATTGGGAACTACATGGATTCGGCATAGTATTTTAGAATGAGGAGAGGGATGGAGTGAAATATGTTGTATTTGCACCCGAGCAAATATCGGTCTTACTAGTAATCTGAATATTCTATACTTCTTATGCTCTTCCTAAATCTATGTGAAATATTAAGGACAACCTACAACGAACGACATGTGACAGCGATTGGTTAAAGTACTGCAGTAACCCATTTGCTGCATTACTCTTTAACCCCACAAGAGGGCTCTCTTACGCATTCATAGGTATCCTCTGTTCAACTGCGAACATTGTCATTGTAGTGTTTTGAAGTTATAAGCGTTGCCAAAAACAACAAACGTCCATTGTTAAAAACACCACAGATATTTCCGTCAACTATAGATACAGCCTCAGGACAGGGAAATTTATTTTAGGGTACTAAAATACAAAGGCAACCCGGAAGTTGGCCACACACACACATAAGCACATGATCTTGACAAACAACCACAATTTCCGGTTGAGAAAAACAAGCCACGTGGGAACGGATATGTGTCAGGGATTAAGTGGGTGTAATGACTTTTATCATAGGAGATATATGGTATCATGTGTTTATAACTTATTAATTCCACACAGGAAGCTCGTGCGACGCGCATTACGTAATGTTTATTGACACCTAGACGGAGGCATTGATATGTTTTCAATAACATGGCAATGTGCCCTGCGACAGAGTTCACTGGTACACTTGCAATAAACCAATAAACCTTAAAGAAAAGGACTGAATTTTGCATAAAACGGTTTAACGTAATAAGCGACAAAATTGAGAACTTGCAATAAAGAACAGAAATGAGTACATTTGAATAAGGTATCAATAAACCATAAAAAAACGAAGAGGGCTAATGAAAATTGCAGATCAAATCCAAGTAATGAAAATTATGTAGAATTGTTGCTACAAGAAGGACCCTTACTACAGACATGTCCAAGAACACCTAAGGTTATCATGAGGGGGTGTTTTTGCAAAACAACACCATAAAGTCCGACCTTGTAACCGTTTATAAATCATAGCCGCTCTTGAGTTGAACGTTGAGAGCTACGTACGCACATACAGCGGTCAAAGTACACAAAATGCTTTCCTTTCTTAGTAGTAAGATTCTTCAAAAATATGGCCAGTAATTGGCCATACAGGATGTAAGGATCATAACGTTTCCCCTTGGAAAATTCACGCGATGGTGGCCTAAGTCAATAATCTCCCTTTTTGGCTAAATTTTACCATTTTTGAACCCACGTTGTTAGCCTGGTAGAGACTAGAAAAATCCGCTTACAACCGCATTGTGGCTTTTACCTCATGTATAATAGGTAGAGTAAACAAACTGTGAATGACGTAAAAGAAATAGGCAGTCTTAGCTGAAAGCTCAAAGGGAAATATTGAACAAGTTTACGAACTCCTTTGTCCAATTCGACAGTTTGAGGACAAACACTTTACGAAGCTGCACCGGTCCAAACCAGAGTGCCGTATAGTATATCTCTTTATTATTGCGCACCTGTAGTGACAAAACGTGCCAAACGACCGTCGGTAAAAGAGAAAAACAAGCATTTTGGAAAGTACCATATTTACTGTAACCCCCGGCGGATTGTTTGGTAGTGTTTTATGTGGCTGTTATTCTGAAAGACAGTCTGTTAGTGACGGCAATGAATAAAGATAAAAGTTAAAGCTGACAACTTGAAAACATTGACACATGCTTCGCGGGCACTGACCTGGATAGAGTAGGAGTGTGTTTATAAGCGAAACCACTGCAATACAAGCGATATTTTACCTTAATTCTATCGATTGCAAAATTAGAGGAAACTCAACATTCAAAAAGTCTTAGCAGATCAGACAACTATTTAAGGTATGTACCGAATTCCTTTATGCCTTTCTCATCTAAGAAATGCGGAGGAAAATCTTTTAATCAAGAACTGATTAATCAAGAAAATCGATCGAATGCTTCCGTTGTGGTTTCCAGATTTTCTTTTATCAGCTTTCTGTGTCCACAATAAAGTTCAGGATGTAGAGGTTATGTTTAGGGAAACTTGAATTTCTCCCGTCAGCTCCCGCGGTCACGTGCGAACGGAAGTGACGTCATTGGCTTTGACCCAAAACAAACAGGTGGTTTGATATCAAGACAATTAATCAAGTTCGGGTCAAAAGTCAATCGTTGAACAACATGGAACAAAAAAGAAATCATTAATCTTTGCCTACGAATGTGTTTTCAAAGTCGACATGAAACAGCGGCGAGCAATGTTACACGCCAAGGTCAGTTGAAAGGTTGTGTCGAACACACAAAATGGCGGACAATTGTTTACAGTATCGTCCTTGACCGATTGCGTTTAGTTACACTTTTTTTGTCGCTGCCCTTCTTTATATTAAATCACACAGCTGATTTGAGGTTCTTGGCGCAAACCCACGATACTACCAGACCTACACATTCTAATATTTGATGCATAGTATCTAAAAATGTTACTATAACGGTGAATGTTTTTTGCTCAAACTGGACGATCTTGGAAATTGAAAGTTCCCTAACTGTCGCTCTACACTGCCTCTTAGTCTTACGCCCACACTAAGGCCTATGAACCGTCTGCGTTTTGTTAGTAAGATGTAATGCCACAGGAGTTTGTAGATGAAGTGGATTACAGAATATGTAAAGTCGTCCTTGACGCTGCTTCTTTGTGATATGACCGGTCAACGACCTAGTAGTTTGTTTATAACAAGCATTAGGTTCGACTTGCACAATCGATGACTACACCTCTAAAAAACATCATATAATGTTTACACGATTAATTATGCAACGTTAGGGACCTACAACAACAAATGCATGGTGTGGGAAGATTCGTCCAACCAAACTGTTGATTTTTCCCACCTAACGATATATGGAACGACGTGCCCTTGTGCCACCTATAACCCATTCATCATGCATCTTCTGAAACAGAATATCCCTCCTGACCAATAGAATCTTTTGTCTCGTAGCTGAAGGAAATCGGCGTTCTGTTGCGAGTGTTGACGTCACGGTCGGCCTGTCAATGGTGTGTCTGTGTCAAGTTTTTGTCCTGTCAGACAACGGGGAACACACAGATCTGAATAAAGCAATCAATAACTACACGAAAAAGTACTTACCGTTCACGTCAGTAGAACGTCAAACAGGCTGTATCTGATGAAAGATGTGCCATGTTGTTGTTTTTGAAGTCCTTGTTTAACGTCTATTGTATACGCTAGTCTCCATGTTCTAGTCTCTTCCTGGTGCCCTTTAGTTGTGATTACCCAGGTGCTTGTTCACTGGTGCTTTGCACTTGCATCTTTGCGGGTAGTTCCCTATTCCTTTGCAAACCTGGCCGAAGCTTGAACGTTTTCTTATTGTGGTACATCCGTGGATGTTGGAACAGGCAGACAAAATGGCCGTTCTTTATTTTGGTAGCATCACATTCATATGATAATTAATTACATCACCGGCCAGCGAAAGATCAGTCCGCCATAATTAAGTATAGTTACTTCGAATCCCTCCTCCTTACGATGTGTAGGGCGGCGCCCTTATCCATGTCTCTAGCTCTTGGGCTGAAACGTTGTGCCGTATTTGTATGTTTTTCCTACATGATCTGTTAACCTCTCATAGGATTTTATTGTTCAAAATTTCGACCAATTTATAATTGTAGAACAACTAAACTTCATACAATAACCTTGAAAATTACAACGGAGATGACAATTATCTTTGTCTTTTTTTCCGAAGTCATAATGACTAATGAAAAATCCCACGGTATCTTATTTCTATCTTTTTAATTGGACACACAATAACACCCATTACTAGCTTACAATTATATTAGAAATGTGCCTTGTACATAATCTGTAACACTGCTAAACTTCGAACTTCGTTACAAACGCTGAACTTTTAACTCATTGTCGCTCTGAACTTAGGGTTAACAGGTTGTTTCTTTAGCAATTCTACAAACTTTATACACGTTGTATCTATTATTCTCGCGTATCTGGCCGAGTGCCATATACTTGATACCGTAATCATATCAACATCCGTGGTATCAAAGAAGGTACTTCAGCCCGTTTTCAAAAGTGAGTGGCTTACACAACTCGCCACACAAAAGCCGGGGCACTTTATAGTTGGAGAGACTTACTTATTAACCCGCTAGCGCTTGCCGCTCTACTAATCACACAAAGTGACAGCTTGCGCCAAGTCAGGTCACACACACACAATCAAATGCCGTACGGTATTTTTCACTGCCTCAATTTGTTTTGCTACGTATCAAACCAAGCGTATCGGATCGAATTATAGTACTGACGGACCACACTTGTCGTGTGCGGATGTAACAACTCTTTTGATTGGTTGATTAATAGAAGTTACGACTTTCTTGTCAGGAAATCGTGTGACATGACGTCAGGACGTAATGAGCGTGAGTGGTGGACTTAGTTCCGGTGTGCGAAAACCGGCCGAGGCGGACCCTTACCCCAGCACCTTTGTCACACGGTGTAGCTTGTTAAATAAATCGAACGCCGAGTAAACAGGAATGTTTTGTTGGAAAGGGACTCTTTTCTTTGTAGCCCACACAAGGCAAAGTCGGCTAGATTTCTAAGTAGCCCCTCTCGTCTTACTCGTCACAATTAAGTTATGTATTTGTTTAGCATTAGGGTGTCTGGAGTGGGTGAGATGCCGCGCTTGCTTACGCACACAACTTGACGGGTTATATCACGGGGTTTAGTGTCGGGTTACCCGGGTATATAAGTGTGTGAACCACCGCTGGGTGTTTAGAACCAGGCACGATGCCAGCACAGAAGGAAGTCCTCCCCGTCACAGGCACAGACGAGACCTACATCATCAGCCATGTGGACAGACCCCAGGTCAGCATGCTGAGGAGGGACAGAGAGGAGGTACGCCAGCTTAGCGCCAGTCACGGCAAGCTGGGGAAAGACGCCGCTGACTTCTTGCCGGGGTTGTCTAAAGAGAAGATGCAGAAGTCGGTGCCGCTGTTACCGCCCATCAGCACTAGTCGCACGGGCACGCCCGGGTCCCCGCCCCGACGGTCCCCTGTCGTCACCCCGCGGCACGGGACGCCGTACGGATCCCTCGGGAGCTCCCCGGAGTACTCCCCGCGACTCCCGAGGAGCAGATCCAACCCTCTCCCGCCGTTACAGGTCGTCGGCTCCGACCCGGGCCTCGACAGGCTGAGCCCGGCCGTCGCAACGACTCCGCAGGCGAGCCCCAAGCCGTCCAAACGGGTCACGATCAATGCCGGCGTGCCGATGGGCTCCAGCACGTTCGAGCAGGCTCTGACAGAGCTAGCCGACGAAGAGCTAGCCGAGGACGCGCAGAACATCGTCGGTTCTGCCGACCTGGACGCCGTCGTCAGCAAGCTGGCTCTCACGGAGACCCCGGACTTCATAGAGGAGGAAACAGCAGAGGAAATAGAGCAGGAGAACGCCAGCGACACGCCCGCGAGCGCTACATGTAAGATCATCACCGACTACCCACCTGTCTGCCCTGACACGCCGTCTTCCCCTGTGGTCAGAAGAAGAGGCAGACTTGTCGTGACGAAAGGACAGAGACCAAAGTCTTTCGACGACGCGGACTTGAACGATAATAACAACGTGCAGGAGAAAAAAGCGACCAAGTCCCCGCCGCGCTCTCTCACACCCTCGCGGGAGACTATCGCCCCTCTCACGCCCAGGACCCAGCGGCGTTTCCGGGTGCAGTTCCGTGACGAGAACACGGACCGGGGGGCCGTGGTCAGCACGAGCGGGGAGAGCCCCGTACCGCCGCGAACCCCCGCCAGCTCGCTCCGGCAGATGAACGAGGTGGTCACCATGATCAACCAGGCCGTGCTGCACTCGGGAAATGTCTCCCACCGCAGGCTTGTCTCCAACCCCAGGCTAGCCGCCCTGAGGAAAGGCGAGCCCCACGTCTCGTCCAACCCAGAACTCTCCATACAGCTACAGGAAGCCAAGAAGGCACGCTGGGTCCGAAGGCGGGAATCCAAGACGGAGTCTCTCTCAGACTTGGACATCAGGAGCTTAGTACGGAAATCCAGCGACTGAGGCTGACGCAATAACTCTTTCAAAACTTTGTCAGGACAAGAACTTTATCACAATCAACATTGAACAGAATTCTAGAACTGCATGGTGTTCTTCCAGGCTGGTGCTGAGTGCAGACTATTTAATTAATAGAGCGTAGCATTTGAAGACGACGTTCATGTTTAGCTCGCAAGATAAAAACAAGAACTGATTCAGACAGCCCGCCTTTGCAACACGCCGATTGCTTCAGTTGGTTTGAGTTGAGGTATGTGTTATTGTTCAACCAGATGTTTATCAATGAATGCATCGATGTAACTAATACCTTATTGTCGACCATGCGGCTTTCTTCAGTTGTAAATACGATTGGCCACAGTCACCAGTACTTTGATATGGCGAGTAACAGTTGACGAAGATTGACATGAGCTGTTCACAGACTAATACTGTACGGCCAAAGTGAACAGAGTTTAAACCATATGCTGCAAAAACAGGTCGCTACGGTCAGAATTCACAATACAAATCAGATGCAATGCTGACTTTCGCTTCGTTCTCAAAGCTAGCTACACACTAAAAAATCTACCTGACACCTTTAATAGTTTATTCGATCGTGTAAAATAACTGTTTCATTTGCTACTTATTCACTTTAAGGGAAAAGCTACTTCAAACACACATTCGTGGCATCTATGAAAGTTGTGTTTTAGTTTCTTGTACAAGTGACCACCTCTGCATAAGGGTCACCTTCCATTGTAGACACTTGTTGACATCCCTCAGATTATTTTTCTAATTGCTCCACGCATTAATAACTCTGTCTAGTAGCTACCTGTCTTTTAAGACTATCAGAGTAATGAGTGGTCACTATAGCCACAGGTTTGACTGCACATTGAATTGACAGTAAACCCCCTTAATTTTCCCGGGTCACTGCTTAAGAAGAGTAAATATTTTCCACGGTCCACGTGTTCCCAAAGGTTTAGCTAACCTGTTGCGACAACACGCGCACGGGAATACAAACACAAACCCACTGTAGAAACTGTTGCTTCAACACGGCATGAATAATGAATAGCAGCCGTCCGCTTGTACTAAAAATGCTGGGGGCACCCCCCCCCCTATACACACTGTACAGCATTTGTATATCTAACTTATTGAAAATTGTTATATATTATTACGTGTGAAAAGACTAGATGAGATAAAAGATTTTGTACGAGACTCTATTTTTCTGGCGTCTTTATTTTCTTAAAACTTTTTGCTTTAATTAATTGTCAAGTTTATGTTTTATACTTTTATAATGACAATGACAATGAACTTTATTGCATATTCACGCCCTACACGGGCCAAATGCACTAAGTTAGAGAACTTGGGTACAAGAATAGAAGAAAAAGTGATACATTTCTGTGCTACGTCACTATCTACAGGATCTAGCTACAACTATTTCTTTTTTTCTTACAACTATTTCTATAACGTCTTTCCAGGGACTCCAAAAGTAAAGTAAAGCCAAGAGATAAAGCTGGCTTAAATTACTACAAAACTGATACAGGAAGTGGATTTAAGTGCTGTTAGATATGACAATAGAATAGAATGACATCAGCACAAATAAACAGCAACAGTAACAACAACAAAAGTACACCTAACAACTTTTCACCTGTGTGCCTTTGTTCTTTTAAGGATATGACGTTATCATCACAGTAGGGAGTCAAAACACTAACGACAACAACAACACAGACAACATTGTCAACAACGACAACTAAACGTTCACATATGCTATACACGTAAACAGAAGTGCTATCTAACAAACAATTTCATCTTTCATCTTTGGAGACAAGCCACCCAAACCACGTAACCAAACGATAACCTCAGAACATAACCATTGGTTTTGGGACGGTGTTTTTGAGATATAGCAAGTCATTTATATGAAGGGACAGGCATGATTCGGAGACAGACACAACATTTTACTAAACCAGATAAAACAAAGTAGGTCGCTATTTCAGTTTCTAAGAGTGAAAGTAGGCGTGACTTGCCTTTAGGGCGTTATAGTTTAGTATCGGATGTATATCTGCTGACACTTGTGACACCTCTGGTGGATAAGGTGACTAACAGGTTGCGAATCTGAGACCCACACACTTTGGGCATCCGTCTTCTCCAGCGGCACCATATCGAGGGAGACATGCTGGGTCCGGTTGGGATGCTTGCAGCGAGCTGCCGGTTGACCTGGTTACGTCTAAGGTTATATAACATATACACGTACGCCACAATTTTAATAGCCTACTAAGGAGCTAGCTAGCCGCGGTGGACTTTCGTCGCCATAGAGTTCGATAAACATTTTCCTCTCCGCTACATGCGGTCCACCGGAAAAGCAATATAATGATCACGACTTGGTACATTTAATGGTGTCCTGGATAGGAACTTCAAAGAACATAGCGGCATGACACAAACCTCCCAAAGGGACATGTTACCTTTTTTTAACCCGGCTCAGTCCACTGGTCAATTACTGAGGCGAATCTTACTCTCTATAACCCTTTAGAAAGTCCTTGACCTTGTTTTTATTCCTATTTCTGCCGAACCTTACTACTAGCCTCTACCAGGCACCGCGGATCGCTGGAAAAATAGTAGAAATTGGCCGAAATAAAGGGATAGAAGATTGCGAGTTGTGATCCGTGGGTCGCGAATTGGATCTTCTATGGCCCGGGATCTTCTCTGGTATATGTCGGCCAATTTCTACTATTTTTCCAGCGATCCGCGGTGCCTGGTAGAGGCTAGAACCTTACTATCTATAACCCTTTAGAAAGGCCTGATGGAGGTTAGTACTAAGAATTGGCCCACAATGTTTAACGGGCGTTACATATCTTCTTGTTTCTGTTGTTTACAGCATGTCGGCCACTCTTCCTCTTTGACAAAAATTCGAGACGTTTCCATTCACAGTTCTATGGACAAGGAAGCTGCACTACTGAAGTGTGTGAAGAAAAGAAATATACAGATGTATTGTAACTGCCCCTTACGTTCTACAACTCCTTTATACATGTACATATACCTTCACTCCCTCTGAAGTATAATACAATCGCTGGCTGTGCGTCAGTACACTGAATGTGTTGTTGAGAAGGAAACGTTTTGCCCTGGGGAAAAGTACAAGCAATCAAGATTCGCAAAATTCCGAAATGTAGTTACAGACTTCGAGCAGCGACCAGAACTCACAATCTCTCTTTCTACCTACCCCTAATCTCTCTCTCTCTGTCTCTCTCTGTCTCTCTCTCTCTCTGTCCCTTTCTTTCTTTCTCTCTCTCTCTCTCTGTCTGTCTCTCTCTCGCTTTCTCCCTACTTCCCACTTTCTCTCTTTCTTCCTGACGATCCCGATTCCACACACATACGTTCTTAGTAATTGTGTCAATGAGACATACATCACAAGATCTGGGAACAAATGGTGTTTAGTGTCCACGGGGAAGACAAAATGCGGAACACACCTAAACCCATTCACAATTCAATGGACAAGGAAGTGGGGAAATATACATCTGTATCATATCTCCCTCTTTGTTTTACAATCTACATTCTACCACTATGAAGACTAAATGTAACGTTACATATAGCTTCATTCTTTCCCAAAGATTTGATTAGTAGGACTGTTACTTTCACAAACAAATCGCCTCTAGTGTGTTGAACTCTCACGAACTCTTCTGAAAGGGTGTTTACTGCTGAAAAGTACGAGGGTCGTCGGAGGTCACTAACCAGTAGGTATATCATTACATAACAGGTGGTCGCCGACTGTAGTGTACGGTAACAATGCCGTCTGTGCTGCCATTGTACAGGGAAACTCGGCAAAAATACGACGATTGTTTCAGTGTCAAGTACAGGAGGATCAAGAATGTAATCTATGAGTTGAGGTGTGTTTTATTTGCTTTTATTATATGTGTCGAAAAGGTTTTCGCAACTGTGGTGTACGATAACAAGACCGCCTGTGTTGCCATTGTACATGGAAACTCGGCAAAAATACCACGATTGTTTCAATGTCAAGTGTAGGTGGGTAAAGAATGTAAGCTCTAGATTAATGTGTTTTTCTTGTTTGCTTTTATTATATGTGTCGACAAGGTTTTCATGTTTTGTACTGGTGTCATGTTGTTTGAGTGGGTGTAGAGAAGCCTCCAAGTCTAACAGTTCTAGTCTATGATACGCTGGCATTCTGTCTAGGGTGCAATTAACTTCAAGTCTTACAGCTTTTTGATGTTATTTAAAAATAACATCAAAACAAATCATGTCAGGAAATTACAAGAAATACCGGTCTATACTTTGAATTAAGCGTTCTTCATCCTTAATGAGCGGAGCTTCACTGTTTAATGTACTTGTCGAAAATAGCTAAAGGAACCTCGCTAGTACAATGAAGCTTAAGCCGTATACAATGAACATGTATGCACCGCCTGTCTTTTCTGCCACAAACAGTTGAAAATCAGCTCTTCAGTGCCCTGAGGCTGGTTTGAGATCGTCTAATCACATCATTTCCTTACCATCCTTTCAGGATTGATGGAATCCCTAAAATCATTATCTAGACTCCCTCTGAAGTATAATACAATCTCCGGCTGTGCGTCATTACCACTAATGTGTTGTTAAGAAGCAAAAGTGTTTTCCCTCGGGAGATATACAGGCAATCAAGACTCGTCATATGCCGAAATGTAGTTATTGACTTCGACAGGCTACCAGAGTTCACTCGCTCTCTTAATTCTTACCCCATCTCTCTCTGTCTCTCTCTGTCTCTCTCTGTCTCTCTCTGTCTCTCTCTCTCTCTCTCTCTCTCTCTCTCTCTCTCTCTCTCTCTCTCTCTCTCTCTCTCTACTCTCTCTCTCTCTCTCTCTACTCTCTCTCTCTCGTCTCTCACTAGTCTGCGTTCTCTCTCCCCTGTCGTCTCTTTCTCTCTCTCTCTCTCTCTGTGTCTCCCTCTCTCTCTCTGTCTCTCTGTCTCTCTGTCTCTCTGTCT